GCACGGAAAAGCAACACCCGCAGCACCACAATAGCAATAAATAAAACAAGGAGAGCCTCAGCTTCGCTGTGGTCCAGCAGCCCTGGTCCATAGGCCAGCCCCGGTATCAGGCATCCTGGCACTGCCTCTTTAGCAACCAGAACAGCCAGCACAACAATCGAGGCGGGATTGGGAATGGAGAGCAGTAGTTAATTAAGCCTGCATCTTTTATTCTCTGGGGGCAATTCAGCCTGGTTTGAATAAGCTGGAGTGCCAGGACCTGGTGGGAATGTCTCTCCCAGCGCAGGAGAATCCAGTCTCATGGGCTGCTTTATTAGCATAACAATATTGCCCAGGATGCACTTGGCGTGATGTAATGCCAAGAGTGAGTGAGGGGAGATGAAAGTTTTCCCGTGCAGGAGCTGGGAGCGTTTGCCACTGACTGGGACTGTGTCAGTGCATGAAATTTCTTTTCTTTCTCCCTCTCTCTCCCCTTATGGGATGTTTGCTAATTGAAGCAGTTCTGGAAAACAATAAGTTGTTAGAACCCCCCCTCCCCCACCTTCTCTTTTAAATTCACATTATTCTGACTTACTGGCAAGGCAGGAGCCTTTTCTGCTCCTTAGAAAGTGGCCTCTGATTATTTGCATTTCCATGTGTAAAGTGGGACCAATGGAGAAGGGGAGCACAATTTGTTGGGATGGGCAGGTGGGAGGAGAGGGGACCTCTGCTGCCCCTATCTCCTGTAACAGATATTTTTGACAGCCAGGGTATTTGCATGGGGAACCAAAAAATCCCATTTCCCAATTCCTCCCTGTTCCCCAGGTGGAAGCATTTGTCCTGGGATGGCTCCGCCTTCAGTACTGTTCTCTCTAACAGCAGACATCCAGTTCTTTTTAGTGTCAAAGGCCTCCACCTGGGGAAATCTGTCTGGGGACTCCTCTATGACCAAAGTAAGGATTTCTCTCCACTCATATGTTAGTAGATAACACCAAGCATGTGCTGTTTTAGTGGGGTTTTGCATATACTGTCGCTGCACAAGCTGTTCTGGTTGCAAGTACTTTTGGTCATTGCTTGATAAAGTGAGTTGCACAGATCACTAATGCAGGAATGGAGCACAGCTGGCTCATGCTGGCATGAACAAGTAATTGTGGAATTCTAGTGTTGTGTGTATTGAATGATTTATTTTGTGTGTAAGTACTGAAAAAGCACCTATCCATGGATTTTTTTTTTTTTCTGGGTAAGCCATCTATCGTAGCAAAGCAATGAGTTTCACTCAGGCTCCTGCTGATAGCTCTGCCTCTCTCAGCCCCCCCACCCCATCCTGCTTGTCCTGGTTATTTCAGCGTGGCTCTAGAACAGGAGTGTCTCTGCCTGTGTGGAGGTGCTGGTCTAGTTCTTGTAGCTTCTGGACACTAGAGGCCTCTAGACACTCTGGTATGATTAATGCTAGTTGTGGTAGTCCTGTGTAATTAACATTCACTTGGAGCAAACGAGTAGAACTGATGGCATTCAGCTGACTTTTTTTTCTCTCCTCTCCAAATATTGTCCACTACAGTCGGTGCAATTTCTAATAAAGTACCTGGTGAGCAGACAGGTTACAAGAGAACATGGGCTGGGGGAAGCTGGCTCAGCAGAGATTAGGATTAATCTCTCTCTCAACCGTCCATGCATGTACAAACACACACAGGCAGCAGGCTTCATCTGGGGGGTTGCTATGTCTTTGGACACAAATCAAAAATGTGCTTTAAGAAAAAGTTATGAAACATGAAAATAAGCATTTTATATCTGCTGTAGCAAAAAACTAAAACCTGGACTGGCCCACCCAGTGTTGCATTTCTGTCCTCTAACTCCACAAGCCCACACATCTTGAAGGCAAAAGACTTCAAGGACAGTGCTGCCTAGAGCAGCCTGGGGTAGATCCCCACCATTGGCTTTGCTTTCCATCCCAGCATTTCTCCTGGAGACTTCAGCCTGAAGTCTCCTTACAGGCGGGAAAAGATTTCCCTCCTTTGAACTCCCAGCTGTATTTTCTAGAAAGCCCTTCATGCTGCTGCCTGGCTGGACTGGGGGATCTGCTCCAAAGAGTTTGCTGCCCCAGCACTGCCCGCTCCCTGATTTTCTTCTAGATTTTCCTCGCCTCTCCCCCAGCATCTGAGCAGTCTGGCTTGGACACGCAGGAAGCTTGCTTACGGAGTGTTTCTCCAAGGGCTGAGGTTGCTGCTGGGAGCGATCTGTCTGTTAACCTTGATCAATCCAGATTGCCTGGCAATGATTCCTGTATTACCCAACTTGCAAGAGGCAACATGTTTTCCAAAAGTGCCGTCCTACTGAGATCCAAACTTCTGTAGGACCTACCTGGGTAGTTTTTGTGCAGCAGCAATTCTAGTCACAGATGTATCTTTAAGCTTCCATTCAATGTGCTGTCCCAGAACAATCTGTTCTTGATGTGTTGAGGGTTATACAACTGGTGACAAAGATTGCGGCAATGTGGGAAGCCTCAGGGAACTTCAGACTGCCCTGGTTAAGTGTGCCATGTTAGTGATAACCCCAGCAAACATAGCCACCGAGCTGTAGTAAGCAGCTGAGTCTAAGGGGAACCAGCTTGGTAAAATGAGGCACTGATTAAGGACAAGAATTAAATGGTGTTTAGGTGCCCAAAGATGCACCTGAAGAGCATCCCTCAGCCCAGTTGGTGTGAGCCCCTGTCTTAAGCAGAGCCTCTGCGCAAGGTGGGAGGCAAAGGGCAGCACGAACCCCCTCCTCTGACAGCCCTGATTGAAACCACATTGCTGCCGCCTTCGGCCCCTGTGTCCAGAGAGGTTGTAAATGCTGGCTGCTGATAATCGCTGCAATTAGTGTGCAACGTGCTCCTACTAAAGGGGTGTTTCCACTTGCCAGTTGCTTTAGCAGATGTTGGGGTGCAGTTTGGCTGCCAGCACCCTGACGAGGATGAAGTGCAGCACCATGGCTCTGAGCTGCTCCTAAAGACACTGCCCTGCTCCTTTAAGTGGTAGCCAGAAGCTTTCTAAATACTATCATCTTACCAAAAGAAGAGGGGGAGGGGAAAAAAAGAAAGTGTTTTGGCATGAGAACAATTTCTCCATTACCTCAATTAGTTCAAATGATCTGGAAAGGTTCTCTCTGGAGAAATCAAGCTAAATCTCAGCCAGCAAAGGGGCTGGTGGCTGGTTGGTTGCTGTAGGTGTTGATATGAACATTAGTCAGCAATGTAGATTGCAGTGAAGTCAGTCAATATTGCTGTCGCTGCTGTCTGGCTACAGTCATAAATTAATTAATTATATCACTGCAGTAATTGAAGGCCTTATTCTCTCTAGGATTCTGACTCTGGCACCTTCCTGCCTGTTTCTGAGGCTGTCCATCAATTCAGTGAGGTCTGGGTTTTACTGAGATCATTATTTCCTGAAGTACTGTAAAGTCTCTCCATAAAAAGGAAAGGGGTTTTTTTACCTATCTTCATCCTTTTCCCTATTGCCTGCGGAGGAGGGAGAGCAGCAGGTTCGGGAAAGATGCAGAAGAATGAGGCAGGGATTTCTAGTTCTAGCAGTTTGGGGTTGTCCCTTTACAAATAGGGATCAAAAGTATCCTCAGAGTCCCTGAAATGACGATAGGGTCCTATGGAGAGGCAGATTAATCGCTGTCAATGCTCCAAACCAGCTCTGTTCCTACAGTGGGGTTGAAACAAACCCAAACGCTATGATGGAGTAAGATTGAGATAACCAAATAGGCTGAGAAAATTCATGGGCTGGCTCCCGCACTGGTGTAAATCAGTGTCCCTGCACTGGCTCTGGTGGAGCAATGCCAAATTCCACCAGCTGAGGGTCTGGATTGCATATTCTACCTATAAAAATGGTGTTTAGGATATCTTGGCAAAAGTAGGTATTTTTGCAACCCACTTCTAACTGGGCAGTGCTGTGTAGGGATGAAATCCAGTTACACTGGTGGAAAAAAAAAAACCACTAATCAGGCTAAAAAATTACACTGTGAGCCTGTGGCGCGGAGGCTTTTTGTAAGACTACTTTGTTACAAGATACCTGCTAAAAGTTGTTAGGCACACAGGGATTCACATGGAACCACAGTGAAGAAGAGGGAGGAGCACCCTTATTTCCAGCACTTGTTATTGATTGCAAGCTTCCCAGCATGTGATGTTATGATTGGAAGTCCCTGCTCTGAAGGTAAGCAATAGTGGAAAGATTTTTGGCTTTCCCCATAAAAATAAGACGTATTCTGGTCTTCATGATTATTCATAATGGTCCCAAAATCTGAATTCCAGGTCCAAGGCTCACAAAGGTGCAGACTATTGAAGAGCATCAGGTGTGCAAGCTCAGAGGATTCATTGCTCTCTTGTGAAAAATATCGCTTACACTGAATTTGTTTTCTCAAAAGTTGGCATTTTTCAACTTCCCTCCAAACATGTAGCATTGCTCAAGGTTGACATTACCAATGAATACAGCTGGCCACTTTTGAGTTTAAAAAAAAAAAAAGCAAGCCACTGTTTGAAATCACTAGTCATGTGTGTAGAGGAATATGGCACATGTGCAGATGTTCAAGGGAGCCGCGTTTGGGGGACACTTGGGACTGAGCACATCTGGGGCTGGGAGTGAAGGCTTTCATCAGGTCTGGTAGAGAAGTACAAAAAACTTTGCTGGATCCCCTTGAGGCAAAGCCCCACTTGGTCATGGGTGAACTAGTCTGGGAGAGGAGACCTGCCCTCTTCCCTTGCTTCTGCACCCCAGTCCCCATTTTGCAGTGAGTCACGGCATGATTCAATGTTTTCAGAAAATAGACCTTCAAGATGTGCAACACTATAGGAAGCCCTAGGAGCTATGGAATATTTTTTGTATGCCTATAAACCTCTCAATTAGTGCTGTAAAGGAGGAAAATGCTCTTATTCTGGACATTGCCCAATGTGTAATGCATTTCTGCCACTGCAGCAAGAAATACTTTTAGCATTTGACTGATTTAGGAGGCAAAGGAAGGGAAGGCACAGTGTTTTGTACCTGAACTCCAGTAAATTGTAACCAGCCATTTCTGTAGAAGATTTCCTACAGAAAGGAGAGGAAGAGACTTTCTTCATAGGATTCAGCAAAACCTCACAAAACACTTCAGGATAGCAACTGTGGATTTTTGACCTGCAGAGAAAAAAGAGGGAGGATAGGCACAAGTTTTCATTTGGAAGCTGGTTTTTAGGGGCTGTGTGAATGTGTGGGAGCTGGTCCCACCAGATGCCAAACGGCAAAAGCGGGAATGCCACCCTCCCAGCTCCTTCCTGCATGCAGCATCGCTTGCCTGTGTGTGCTTCTGGGGCCATGGGGCTTTGGAAACCCTGGCAGGCATCGCAGCTCCAGCATGGATGGACCTACACTGGGGGAATCAGTGGCTTCATTTAGTGCTCTTATTAAACTCTGGGTAATTGAGTAGGGCTTTCTGGCTGTGCCCAGCCGGATGGTTTCAGGCACAGTGAGCAGAAGAGAAGGGAGCATCCCACTGACACCAGCCTTTTGAAGTCCCTCTTCCTCCCCTGGGATCCCTGTTCCTCTGCCTGGCCGTGGCCTCAGGCCTTTCCCCCAGCTGTTTTTCAGCTTGGTTTAACTGCTGGGAGAAGTGGGAGGGAGGCAGAGCCAGCAAGGATGACTCCAGGGCATAAGACACATTCTTCCAGGTTAGCCAGCGTTTCCAGGCCTTTCACTGAAAAGCCTCAATTAACCAATAATCAGCCAAGCATGGCAAACCCAGAAGCAATATGTGCTGCTTCTGGCTCCAGGGCCAAAGGCTAAAATCTGCTCAAGGAGCTAAATTAGTCATCTAATTGGGATTTCTGTCCATACTTATCCTGCTCTGGGTGCTCACAAGAATGAGATCAGTGACAAATTTCCAGTTCTTCCCCTGCCATCGCCTTTCCTTAACAACCCTGTCTAATTAGTGCTGTAATGCAGAAGAAGGACCAAAGTCTGACCCTGGGTGCAAGGGTGGAATCTAGGCTTTGAACTGTCTCCTCATCCGAACTGCTGCAGTCCCATGAATTTGGCTGAATTGCACTGATTTACACCAAGGAAAGGTTGAGCTCTTCCCATCCTACTCCAGGTAGGACATACTAAGGGCAACCCACCACAAAATCTCCCGTATTTCCCCACTTTCAGCACATGGAAAGGGAGGGTGGCACTGAGGGGCTGTGAAAATTTGCTCTGGAAGATGCCTCGTGGCAGAGTGTGTGGGACCAGGCGAATGGGGAGAGCAAGTCATGTCCTGGGAGGAAACCCTCAGTGCGGAACAGACATCTGCTCAACATGTGTGGAAAGGTTTCAGTAACCTCCACAGTCTTGGTTGTCCTCAGCCCACCTTTCACTGTGGGAGTGCTCAACAGAAAAAGAGAAACTGCTTTCCTTGGGTTTATTTTGCTTTAAAGGCAAAAGTGGAAACAAAGAGTGCCAGCACCTAACCACCTCAAAAAAAAAAAAAAAAAAAAAAAAAAAAAAAAAAAAAAAAAAAAAAAAAAAAAAAAAAAAAAAAAAAAAAAAAAAAAAAAAAAAAAAAAAAAAAAAAAAAAAAAAAAAAAAAAAAAAAAAAAAAAAAAAAAAAAAAAAAAAAAAAAAAAAAAAAAAAAAAAAAAAAAAAAAAAAAAAAAAAAAAAAAAAAAAAAAAAAAAAAAAAAAAAAAAAAAAAAAAAAAAAAAAAAAAAAAAAAAAAAAAAAAAAAAAAAAAAAAAAAAAAAAAAAAAAAAAAAAAAAAAAAAAAAAAAAAAAAAAAAAAAAAAAAAAAAAAAAAAAAAAAAAAAAAAAAAAAAAAAAAAAAAAAAAAAAAAAAAAAAAAAAAAAAAAAAAAAAAAAAAAAAAAAAAAAAAAAAAGGTAATGCTGCAAATGTCAGAGAGCAGGTATCTCCATGTTGGAAAGGATGTTTCATTCCAGACCTAATGAGACTGCATGTGTTTCTGAGAGCTATCACAAGAAGAACGAGATTGTATTTCCCTGCCCTGTGCAGCAGGTAGCCAGGAGGAGAGGATGCAGGGAGGGGCTGCAGAGGCCAGGGGTAAAAGCCTCCACTCCCTTGGAGGCATGAAAAATCCTGAACTGTAGGTTGGGGAGTGACCCTCAGAGGTCATCCAGCCCATTTCCCTTGCCCCAAGGTAAAATCAGCAATAACTAAGCCGTTCCTGATTAATTCTTGTCCAAAATGCCATGAATGTTGCTTGTGGGGTTGAACCAAAAGACTTGCAGCACATCAGCCGTGCTGAGGATGGGGCATCCTCCTGCTGCCAGCACGGCTGGGCTGTCCCTTGCGAGAGCTGTTACCAGGACAGTAGAGCATCCCTTATTTTTTATGGTTGAAACTGCATCAAAAGGAATTGAACTCAGGCAGAGTTTTTAAAATAGCCTTTGGCATCTTTAGGTTTTAGGAAAAGTGACTGCTGTATCTCTGTGTGAGCTGATCAGAAAGAATGTCATCATCCTTGCTGACTGTTTTCACTTTAAAAAAAAAAATTGTTGTAACAATTCTTTTGGATTTTCAGCAATCAAAATATGTTGTCCAAAAGCTGAGAGATTTGAAGAAATTTGGAAGAAAAAAATACAACATATTTTCTAGGAAAGGAAAGACGTAATAAAAACATTAATGCAATCAAACCCCTAATTTTCCATTTAAAGATTAAATTAGTGGGTCAGATTGGAAATAACGATTCCCTACTTGCTATGTAAAAATACATAACACACACTTTCACTCTAAAAGCGTTTAAAATTCTATATTTAAACATATAGAAATATAAGTAAATATAAAACAGTAAAAAGCACTGTTGCAGGGAGCAGTGGAAGTGCAATGCCTTTTCTTTAAGAGACTATAGTCATTCTGGGAGTAAAATAACAGCCAAACACTAGAGATGGGGGAGTTGTTCACACTTCATGCTATGTCCGCTAGAAAAGCGTTACAATTTCTCTGCTACGCAGATCTGTGTGAGCTTGGCACAGAGGAGCGGCAGGATCAGGGCAGAAAGGGCATTGCATCCTACCAGGATGGGGCTCTCGGCATCGACCCTGCCCTGGAGCACGGAGACAAATTCCTCCTCACTGATATTTGTTAATTTGATTACTAAAATTGTTCTCTGTACTGGGCACTGGATCTGGGGACTGTCCCCATCTCGGGCACTGTGTAAGTGTGTGCATAACCCATCTGTCCATATAGGCTTTGTAACCGCAGATATTGGCTTTTACCACACCTTGCGTGACGGATTTTAAATACTCCTGTCAGGCTAATAATAATAACAGAAATAGTATTCCAATGAAGGGCAGAGGAGATGAACTAGATCCAAGGTGCTTCTCAGAGAGGTTCAGGGCAAATGAAGTTATGCTTTGAAAAACTGAAAGTTGTCCCTGATGTCAGCAGCGTTCGTCTCTTCAGCTGAGCCAGATGTGGCTCTCCCGTGCATCTCGTTAATCTCAGCAAGGAACAGTTTCTTCATCCTCTGAAATCAGCCGCTTTCCATGAAAGTCCTTCTCAAGGTGAGGTCTATTCCCGCATCCCCCAGGCTAGCTCCCCCCAGGTCCCCTCTCCCCATCCAAGGACCGATAAACCCTGGACCGATAAGCTCTGGTGCTGCGGCCGCAGCCGTGAGCTACCGGCCTTCCCCGGAGCAGGCGCTGCGGCAGCTCCGTGAGCACGGCTTCTGAAGGGGGCTTTCTTAGTATTATTATTTTGTGGTCAAAAGGTTGCATACACTATTTTTTTCTGATGCAGAGGCTTAGAAAGAGTGGAAAGCAAAATATTTTGATAATTATTCAGGCCAGCGGGTTACATAAAAGGTTCCATAGCCCTCTGCATCAAACCTTAACAGTTCAAACCACAAATTCTGTTTTTGCAGCCATAAAACATTCAGGGCAAAAAAAAAAAAAGATATAAAAAAAAAATAAAATAATAAAATCCATTTTCCATTCGCTTGAAACTTATAAAATTTTATGTGGTGAAAAATGACAGTTTACTCCCAGAAGGAAACTGCCCAGAGAGGCTTGTTTCATGGGCACAGTGGGATCAAGAAATAGGCCTGGACTTGTGTCCTTAGTCACATAAAGTAAATGTTGAAAGATGTCACAGAGCAGCAGGCGAAAGCTGCAGCAGCATGGGTCGTCCCAGTCTTGCTGGGAAGGGTTGTTGCCCGTGCAGAGAAGGAGGGGAAGGCACGCAGGGGTGCTGTGTGTCCCAGGGCTTGCATGGTGCTCTTGGTTTTGAGAAGATGACCCAGCGGTCTGAAAACAAGGGATGAAATCCTGTAGGGTGTTCAGGACCTTCAGCTTCCTCAGCCCCTTTTATCTCACAGGCTGCGATACAGCCCTTACCAGGCTAAATATGCACATGTGAGATGCTCAGTGAGACGAGCCATAAGAACGAGGGCATTGCCATAAGCATCCAAGCCTGTGTGCTGGTCCAAGCAAGGGCTAGCATCACTGCTTAGAAAGAGAATCTCTGGCTCACAGGGTTGCCTCTAGCTCACATTGCCATGGTTTAATTCTCTTCTCACAGCAGTGCCCGAAGCAGAAACCTCAATGGAGTTATTGAGGTTTTCCTGGGCTTTGCTGGGTTAAGAGTAAGCAGAATCAGACCCCGCCATCACAGCTGAGGATGAGACGCTGCAGTGTTGATGGAAAGCACCGGCACAAGAGCTCACAAGCTCTAGGAATTCAGTCTGAATTCCTGGCTGCACAAAGTCAAACCCGTGTGGTCTGGGAGTCAGGTTCTCAAAGCACAGAGCAGACCCCCCCTCTCCACCCCCAGCTAGCTCCAAATCTCAGAGCAGTGCAGCTCTGGGCACGATCTAATGAGCTTTCGCCCTTCAGTTACAACTAAAGGTGGCATCGCTATATGGCACAACTGGGCACCAAACGCCCTGAGCGGAGCAGCCGGGACAGTGTTAGGGGTGCCCGCATGGTGCTCTGCAGCGTTCAGCTGTGTCTTTTGGATGCCTACCCCCTGCCATAGTCAAAATATATCTTCCACACTACCTTTACCAAAAAGAAGCTGCCTCAAGGGTATGCCATGTGATATTCTTTAGTTCACTGGTTATTTTCCAGCTCCGTATGAAGGTGCAGGGACCAACACGTTCCGAGTTTTCTTTGCTAGAAAGGTTCAGCTGGGCAGTGTCGAAACATCCCCAACCTCCAGCAAAGCCAATGGTCTTCCTAAATGACCCAATGCTGCAAACGCTCTGAAAATCATGGAAAATAGCAGGTGCAGCGCATGGGACAGTCTCCAAGCCAGTCTGCCGCAGGGCTGCTCTGTCCCCTTGCACACCTTTAAGTCGCAGGCTTTGACAACACACCACTGAAATCCTAAGCAAAGTATGCAAGTAGTTGAATTCCTTGCAAAAACCTGTATCATCAGGTTTCTGGTTGTTAAATGAACATGAAGACATATATACAAACAGTCCCAATTATATAATTGCTTCTGCTTTCTAAGTAAAAGATATCCTCAAAATTATTGAGAATCAGATGCACTTTCTTTACGGGTTTTCTACCCTGGGACATTAAAAAGTCATCTCATCTCCTGAAAGTACAGGATGAAGAAATATGTTAAAAATTTCCCAATAGTCAGCCACAAAAACACAGACTATTACCAGCTAAAAAACAACATTATTCCCCCTGCGTGTTAGAATTTGACACTTCTGGGTACTGGCAACATTTTTCAAAAGAAAATTAAAAAATAGCTGTGTATAAATGAAAAAGGTCTCTTTACTTTTCCTTTTCCATTTGCAAAGGGAAAAAACAAAAACAAAAACCTCACTTTATGTGCTTTTTACATAGGAAACATTAAAAAGTCATCTAATCTCCTGCAACTAGCACTAATTAATGAGCAACATGAGATCTGGGAAGAGAAATAAAACTGCAACCTGGACTTTCTGTAGTGCAATTCAAAGTCGTGACACATTTAAAACCATAAATGCATTTTGCTTGATTCTGTAGGATTCCTAATTAGCAACTTGAGAGGAAATCTATGCAGCAATGAAACACGGGCCGCCTTTTTTTTTTTAAATACTTCAGCATTAGTGGTTTTCTTGGTGATGGGGATGCGTTAAACTGCATCTGGAAGCTCGAGCCCACCGAGTAGAGCCATACCACAATCTGCCTCTGTGGTCATCTCTGAAATATCCAGTCACTCCTGTACCAAAGCTTCTCAACCATTTTTTTTTTTGAGATTTTGCAACCCAATGATGCTCCAGCGTTTTTGAATACCAACTTTGTACCTGGGAGATTAACTATTGGCATGACAGCATACTTTCAGAGACAAGCAGGCTTTAGTAAAGCTCCATCCAGCAGTTAAGTAGCCAGCGAGCCAGGTTAGTCTGGTCTATTCTTATTGACATCTATCTAAGACTCAGACACACCGAGATGTGTCTGGTCTATTACCCTGCTCAGAGCTGTGTCCTTCGTTACATTTAGTCACCTATGCAGCCTGGAGGTCTCCCAGGAGTGTGCTGAGCTTTGCAGCAAATATCCACCTTGTTGCTGGTTCTCCTGTCCCCTTGCCAAGGGGACACGTGTGGTGCAGCAGAGGTTTCAGCATTGAGCTCTGCAAGGTCGCTTCAGCTTGCCGGCATTTCAGACACCCTCTTACTGTGAAATGCTCTGCAGATGAGGACCAATGTCCTCAAAGAGGCTTTGCAACTCACGGGGAATTCACAGAAGCTATGTGGTGCCTCCCAACACCTGAACTGCTGAAAAAAATGCATGTTTTGCACCAACTGGAGCTCTGTACATGCTGACGGCATCATCCCCAGGCATATTTATTGCTGTAGTCTCACAGAGCAGGCCTATAATGTGAGAAAATGCATCCAGATCGTTGTCTGCCAGGATGGGATGGAGTTTCCTAGCTGAGCAAAGACAGGAAAAGCTGTTCTCAGAAACTGTCCAGTGAAAGTTTGAAGTCAGAAGGGAGTCCAGGAGGACGTCTACGCCGTGGACTGAATTGAGTGATTGTGGTTGTGTAGCCTCAGCTGAAGGAGTTATTATTTTCACGTCTGGTAATAAATAGAATAATGGACAAAAAGCCTAACTCCCTGCATGAAGTCTGAGTAAATGAGCTTGGTACAGCGGTTCGCTGCAGGATTTGTGGTTTGGGACCTTCTTCCAAGCTGTGAATCAACACGCAAAGCAGATCCAGGGCCACTCGCGTGGCTGCGAGGACTCACGGGTGTCTCTGGTTTCTCTGCTCTGCCTCCACAAGATGCCCTCGCTCTCTCCCAGATGCCCATAGGGTGGTCGTTACCATAGGGTGGTCGTCACCTCGACCTCCTCCGTGTCCTCCATAGGTGAGGACATGCACGACGTGCGAGAGCTGGACTCTGCCGCCAGCTCATCCCTCTGGATTTTATTGTCATCTGATAAAGCCTCTCTGTTCTCTGTTTGGTTTAAATCCTTGTTGGAAAACCTCTTTCATAGTAACTCAGCCTCTGACAACAAGCACTTAGAAGAGCTGTCCTCCCAGTTTAGAGCTGTCAGCCATAAGTCAGTGGCGGTACCATTAACATAATCCAGGTGTCTTCGCTCTCATTTCCAAACGCTAACCGCTGGGCAGCAGTTCTCCCTGCAGACAAGCTGCAGGACAAAGTAACTGCTTAAAGCAGCATGATGGTACTTTTTTTCAAAAAAAAAAAAATCTTCCTTTGCAACATATCAAAAGAAAAAGCAGTCCTCTGTTTCTGGTATTCCTGATCAGTCTCTTCTTCATTCTTGGGACTATATTTACATTCTTCTATACACGATATGGATATGATATGATATAATATAAATGTTACTGATGTTCTGTAATATTACTGTTACACTGAGGGATATTAACATAGAATTTGAACCCTTTCCCTGCATCACAGCTTCTCTGAAAACATAGTGCTCTTGTTGTTGTTGTTGTTTTAATTCTCTCTGCCTTCAACGTGTAGTTAGTCCCTCAAGAAACCAAGGTCATCTTCTGAGCCAGCCGACGTTACGCACAGATGTCGCTTCTCCAGCACCATTAGTGGTACAGGGCAGTCTGGTTAGCTCTCAGCTTAGGGCAAGATTTACAGATGCACCAGCTGAATTCGGGTGGGTCAAGCTCACGTGGAGCCCAGCTTGTACCACACTGGTGGGCTCAAGCTTTCAGGGATTTACACATGCAGTTCCTCAAGATCAGTGGGTACTTTCTAGAGTCCAAGACAGCAACCCCCCCCCCCGAGGGGTAAATCGGGAAGCGAAGCCACAGCTGGAGCAGGGGTAAAAGGGTGAGCACTGCTCACTTGTGCTTCTTTACCGAATTATTTTCTAGGATTTAATAAAGAGTGATGTCCCTGCGTCCTGCACATGATTCGGGTACCTGTCTATCTGTGTTTTCAGCATCTTTTCCTTTTTTAATGCTAGGAGCATTTAGGCCCTGGTGCTTGCCTCTTGACGTGGTTTTTTTCCCCTTGGGAAAACACATGTGTTTGTTTTCTTCCTCAGAATAGATCTGAGCTGAGCACTACCTTCCCCAGCTACTCCTCTTCCTCCAGTCCCAGTCTCCGGCTGCTTTCAGTTGCCACAAGGAGGGGAGGAGTTCAAGGTTTGATGAGTAAGTTTCAGTGGAAAACTTTGATTTGTTTCATTTGTTTAATCATTCCTTTTCAAAGGTGGCTGGGGTTTTCTTTGGAAGGGGAGCAAGCTGCTTGCTTTGAGTGATCAGCTCTATTATATGTAGTTATTACATTTATCTCTAAATTCCCAGTATATGTGCATACTACATGAGATTGCCAGCCTAATGAGCTTCTGAAATTTAATTGACTGCTATAGATATTACTAAATCTCTCTGCAGAAATCAGACCAAACTAAGATTGAGACAGATATCATGAGATCATTCAGAAAATCTGTCCCTTCTCATTACCTGGTGTAGGTTTTTTCCATTAGAGTTTACAGGGGCTTTAACATCATCTGATTCATAATTGATGAGAAAATTGAATTATTTTAATCTGTGTATTATTTTAAGGCTTTGACAAGCAGTCAAACCACCATGCTAATCCCTAATCCCTGGATAATTGTCACCCAGCAATTTTAAAATGTGGTCTCAGAAAATTACAGGAGGAGCCAGGAGTAAAGCAATCAGAGTCTGCACATCAGAGGACTTTCATTATTATTAGCATTGCTAGCATTATTATTATTATTTAAAGTACACCTCTGGCATGTCTCCCAAAAACCTCTTCCCCATCTGTTCTGCATAGAAAGTTTCAGGAAAGAGGCAAAGTCAATCAAGCAAAGCAGAACAATGTTGAAGGCGAGTTTAATAAAATAAAAATAATTCTTCCTTTAAAAGAATCACATCGTTTGCCACACATTTTAAAGCACAGAAAGTATTGCATAACTCCTAACCGCCGAGCTAGCCAGAAATACTGTATCCCTTTATTCTCCACGTTTAATAGTTATAATTAGAACCTTTCCTATATGGTTTCTATATCTACATGTAATTCTAAAAAAATCCCTCTTGTCTTTCCCAATAAACTGAAGCATTGTTACACAGACTGAAGTCAAACAATTAAAGTGAGAAATGGAGACGTTGGGTTTTGAAGAGGGTTTTTTTTTTTTCTTTTTTCTTTTTTTTGAGGCAGAAAAATTCTCCAAATTGAAATGTACTTACTTAGCATCAGTTTTGTCTTCGCAAGCATTGCTGTCCACACCTGGGTAGCCTCTGGAGGCAAAGGGTGACTGCAAAGAAAGCAAGATGGAGCTAGTTATAGAGAGCAGCAAACACGTGGAGAACACACACATGGCAAAGCCTTGGTAAATTGTCATGTGCAATGAAAAAAGCGGAGAAATGGCAAAATAAGACCTGATTTGGGGGGGGGGGGAAATGCCCAGCAGCCCAAGAGGAAACTCAGTCTCATGAGAGCCAGGCTATTGGAAAAGAGCAGGAGAAAGAGAGACCCATGGCTTCTCATGGCCATGAGACACAGCAGCAGCAGACTAGGTAATGCAGCGTGATTTTACATCTCCCAAAGAAGGAGTTACACCGACGGGAGATGTCTGTTTAGCTCTGCTTAAAATAGCCTTAGTAGTATCAAGTCTCCCTGGGATGAGGCATCTCACCTTTCTCTCCCTAAAAAGGAAACCTCTCTCCTTGCTTAAAATCACAGAGGATGGTAAAGGAAAAATTTATTTCTTGGACTTCTTCCTAAGCCAGAGAAACTCTCGTTATTAATGCCAAGGCACAAGAGTGTGTTCTGCATTTCAGCCGTAACTGCAGTGTAGCCATATGGTTATACACCCTCATGTACACATTAATATTTCAGAATTCTTTCTTTAGAATTCTTTTTTTTTTAATTGCAGCTTATTTTTCTTCCCTCCTGCTCTGCATGTCAAAAGATGATTGATACGTGTAGAAGTGGGCCTTAAAAACACAAGTCATTGCCCGAGGTTCTTCCTATAATCAAAGCACATGCCCACCCATAGCTAATTAGACATTAGCCTAATGTCAACTGATTGATTTAGAGCAGTCCTACCACCCACCCGAAAAAGAGCACAGAGCCTTTGATGGAGGGCAATGGAGGGAAAGTGGCACCTGAAGGAGGGGATGTTTTGCCTTTAAAAGTTCATGACGTAAAACCTATTTGTTTATATTTATGTAAAGAAGATGCAAAGCAGTTTTTCCTCTTTAGTGTTTGTGTTAAACAAAAGGAACTTGTTAGCAGGAAAAAACAGTTAAAGTCCATTCCGGACAAATTTAGGAGGTTTAAGCTGTTGAAGAAGTTAAGTGTAGTGGAGTATGTCACCATGACAAAAGCAAAGGTCTTGCCTCACCCCCAAGGTGAGACCTGGCTGTTTTGCTGGGTCTAGTCTTGCACTTTGCAGTAAGCTAGGAAAATACATTTGGCTATGATTTAGATACAATTTTTCAAAATCCTTTGCATTTTTTTCTTTTCCTTTATTTTCCCCCCTTCTTTTCCCTCCCCGCCAAACCCCACCACCCTCCCCACTCTGGATTTATGGGTCAGGAACCCTCAAAGTTGTCCTGATGGATTAAGCAGAGACAAGTTGTATCGAGTAAATTAAAAATGAAATAGTTACAGCTGTTGGAATAGTCTCAGGGCCAGAGGAGGTAAAAGACTTTCTACCCTCGAGGGGCCTGGAAGTAATCTGTGAAGCACCAACTGCTTAAATAAAGACAGCTTGAGTGAGGGCTGGCGTCCTGAAGGATGGAGAGAGCATCCAACGGCATTGGGCTTGAGCATGGTTTAAAGGAAACCAAGGGAGCAGCTACCCTCCAAGCCCTGCTTGCTCCAAGTGACCCCGGACCCCCGGGTCCCATAGCCAGGAGGGGACAGCGGGGAGGACAGTGAAGAGGGCATTTTGGGACAAGCAGTCTCAGGGATTTCACTTCTGTTATTGTGAATCTCTGCCATATGTCATTGAACCGTGGGGGTTAAAACTAGAAGTTGTCTTGTGGTTTCCCAGGTACAAAGCAACACCGGGAACCCTACAGAGCTGAAGGCACACAGACTGAGGAGTAAGAAACGTACGTTTCATCCTGCCTAACGTCTCCCAGATAGACAAAACTATGGGGCATTTCTTCGCAGGTGGTGATGCTGAGGCTGATTTGGGTGAAGATACCCGAGTTCTTCGTTCTGCTCAGCCACATATTCTTCCTCTCTTTTGGCAAACTGCTTTGCTCTTCGGATGCCTTTTCCCTCCCCAGCTCTCTACTTTTTATATTCTGTTTCTGTGCTGTCTGTGCCACTGTCTTGCTCTGGTTTTTGTGGTTGGGGTTTTTTTCAGAGTAGCATCGAGCCGAACAAGGCAATTCAATGAACCAGGGTCTGTAGCAGTTGCAGTAATACAAGTACCCAGTGCTAAATACCACGGCACAGGGAAGGCAGTATCTCATCCAAGGGCCTGGTCCTGTTTGGTTCAGCCACCCACAAAAGCACAGTCTCTCCCTATTGATAATAAATCAAGCACAGACAAACACATTCATAATTTACCTTTTGTGAATTTGAAAGTTGTACAGAATGACCCTTTTTAGTCAAATAAAAGCACTCCAGAGTGCCTCGCTGCAGTGGGTGGTGGTGAGCCTTCCCCCAGACACACGCATTCGTAGTGAAGATGTTTGGGCCAGTCCCAGAGTTAACGGAGCAGAGACAACAGGGACGGCTGGGAATAACACGTGGAGGAATTTTTCATCCCAACTCATCTTCAAACAGTGCCCATGAGGTGTCTCTGCCGTGCACACAGTGATAAACCACTCTCTGCTCCCAGCACCAGCAACAAGTTCTGCCTCTGAATTACTGCCTTCAAACAATGATTAAAGTGGAATTTGTCTCTGCAGATGAGAGGAGCAGCTGAATGTGGTCCATGATGCAATATTCCCCTTAACCCAGCAGCATCTGGGGGAGGAAAAGGAGGAGGACGTATCTCCAGCAGCAGAATCTGTGCGACTTCACATTTCTCAGCTATAAACCTTTCAATAGCTGGAAGTAAATCCTTCAGCTTTCTACTAGAGCTCAGCCTCTGCAGCTGCAAATTTATTCGGCAGGCAGAGAATCAGGCCAAAAGAAGTAAATATGAGCGATGTGACTGATAGTGCTAGAACATTACGCAAGCTCCCACACAGCTGCGGCGGAGGGCAATTCCCCGGCTGCTAATTCCCTGCTGGAGATCTCCTACCAGAAGCTGGAGCCGTCCTTCCGGGGATGCTGGCAAAGGAGGGGACTCGGCGGCAGGAGGTGTTTCTGGAGGCCAGGGTCTGCAGAGCTCAGCTCTGGAGCAGCGGTTTTGGGATACACGGCTGCTCGTGTGCGCTGGAGAGCTGCAAGCAGGGATGATGCCCTTCTCTGTTTTGTTTATGATGCCGGACACCCCCTTGTCTCATGTGCATAAGTACTATAAATCTCTCTGTGATTACTGGAGTTAGGCTGGTGGTTTAGCTTTTAGTGGTGGTTAAGGACTAGCCAGCACACGGCACTGGCAACACCTCAGGGGTCCTATTAATTGCGAGAGTGTCAGAGCAAAGAGAAAAGGCTTAAAAGCATAAAGACCTCGCCGCATATCAGATGAGCATTTTGCCACATAGCATTACCCCATAACTGCCCCCAATTAATGCACGGGGCGTTAAACAACCGCTCCGGGGCAAGTCTCCTGGTTTCGCCGTGCTCGGGCAGCTCTGCTGCAGCACCCAAAGCCGCAGAGGGAAGCAGACAGCGGGGATGCGCGTTTGCCCGGAGGGACTTGGCAGCAGCCGCAGGTGCAAAGGGTGGGGAGCAATCCCAGGTCACACATGCCAACATGGAAAATCACAGGGGTTGCCCGGGTTAGGAGGCAGAGCGAGCTAGAGAGCTCTTAACCTGTCCTCTCTGGGCTCTCTTTGCAGAGCAGCCATTGCTTCCCCAACACGCCGAGTAGCATCTTGGACTGTACGTTAAGGGGCTGTACATTAGGAGAAGAACACCCCCCTGTGAACCCATTTCAAAGGCTGGGTGGAAACGTGTTTGTCTTTCCTCTCCATGCAAAAGCCAGTGAGCTGATCTTTTTAATGCCGCTCTCCAGGACATCTGCCGCGAGAGGGAAGGTCCTCCAGCAGCATTAGCGGCTGCTCTCTAGCTTTGTTCACAGGCGTCTCTGCCCAGAAACCAAGCGAGCCACAACAAGGCTGTTCTTAGGAACTGTCAGAAGTTGCTGCCGCTTTTAGTACTCACACCTCGGAGAGCAAATTCCCCCTCCCGGCCTGCCGGTTCACCTCACCGCTCCACCCCGTATTGGAGACTGGTTTCCATTAACACTGTAAAGCTAATAAGTCTCCTGAAATCAGAGTGACTTGGATCATGCTGAGCACGTGTGTGTGTGTGTGTACACGTGAGTGTGTGTGTACACACGTGTGTGTGTGTGTTGCTTGCTGGTGAAGACAAAATGCTAGCCTGGACTCTTGTGCATGCACACCCACACACCCTTAAAAGGGAGATTATTTCTTCCTTTAACCCTTAGGATGCCCAGCTCTCGAATGCCAGAAGGGGCTCTTTCTCTTTAGTATTCCTTATTTTTTATATTAAATTGATGGCATATCCTTTTATCACAGCCTTCATCTCAAGAGGGAAAGGATAGACACCTATTCTACAGAGCAGTATAGGAGAGAAGGGACTGCTTGACTAGTTGCAGCATTTCAGGAAAGCAATATTATTTCTATATTTCAAACTGCCATGATGTAAGCTGGGGCAGAGGGATGTTCGTTTTCTTGTTTTGTAAAACTGCAGCTTTTGGAGTCATGTGAATGTCAAATTTCACTTAAACCTGAGCTGCTTCTAATGCTCTTGTTACACAGATACCAGAAACTGTCATCTGAAAAACCCTCTAGTTTTAAAATCTAAAAACCAAACATGCAGGATCCTCATTTTCAAATAAACTTTTATTATTTTCATTCATTTAGCCAATGGCTTTCTTCTGGAAAAACAATTTCTTGAAAGACTGTGCTGGTAATATTGAAGGTGCTGGACTGGTCCTGGACCCAAAGAAATACAAGAGCTTTCTCAGGGACTGGCTGGTCCCTCCCAGAGCTGTGTCACCTCAGGCTCTGGAAAGTGAAATCCAGCCATGCCGTATTGTGCTGCCGTTGCCTTTCTGCTTTATTGTATCCATCCATGCATTCGCACGTTATAGCTGTCCAGGTAAAAATCAATATAGTCTGATAGCCCAGTGATGTGTGCGCTGAGCTGGGCGAGACG